TACATTTGTAGAGAGATTCTAGCTCAAAACTCTATCTAATTTCCGAAATCGGATGATGCGCGCATTAGTTTTAAGCCACTTTTCTCTTTACACGTGCACAGAAATCCCAGATACATTTCTAAATTTTGTAAAACTTTTCAATTATGAGAAGGAGACTTTAAATTAGAATACTTGGGGAGGGGGCGTCCATATTGGATCGCCATGTGCCCCCTTCTTCCCTTCCCCCACATCCTGCTTTGGGGGAAGTTTCAGCAAATGACTCAGATGGCGTATTTTTTCCCCAAAGTCATGCTTAATAGAAAAAGACATATTTTAAATTTTTTCCTATTTCGCTTTCCAAAGTAGTAGCTATCACCTAACATTATCTTAGCCAAAATTTGGTTATCATAAGATGTTCTCTGGTAATTTTTAAACAAAACATTAAGTAATCTCATTGTGGGAGAGCTTATAGCTCTGCCCTCTCCTGCCACCTTTGAATCTCTCTGCACCAGAGGAGGATTCGGCAGCAGGGTTTCATTTCTTATTACAAATTTTAGATTCCAAATACTTATTAAGATTTTAATTTGAACAAGAAACCACATTAAAGATGACCATGGCACTCTTTTTTCAGCCTGATTTAAAAGAGTACCTTTTAATATTCTAATTTCTTTATAATTTTGCCTTCTTATCAAATTTTTCCCCATAATAATCTGACTTAAACACAAAGTATCACCCATGCACTTGAGGATCTGCTGGCTTCCGAAGCTACTGTGTGCTACGCCCTGTTCTCATCTCATTTGATTCTACAATTGGTGAGTTGGCATGAGTTTTTCATGTATTTATATACAGTGGGGCCTTGACTTACGAGTTTAATTAGTTCCGTGACGGAGCTCGTAACTCAAATTACTCGTATGTCAAATCAAAAAGTGAACGAGTGAGACACGTGATGCTGGGCTGATGTTGTGGCGTTCACTGTGACGTTCGCTGCGCCAACTAGTGGTGGGGTATCTGAAGCTGGCTCGTAACCCGAATTTTAGCGCGCAACTCAAAGCAAAAAGTCGGCCGAGAGACGGCTCGTATCTCGAAAAACTCGTTAGTCGGGACACTCGTAAGTCAAGGCCCCACT